ATGAGAAATCCAACCTGTTTATAATTGATGCAGTTGATTTTTACTATGAATATATATAGATATATAAGCGTCCTACGAACGCTACAACAATAATATCATGATGGTTGGGATACAAAACCTTGCGAAACGGCTGAATTTGTTACAATACATAACGGGGATGAAAATCTGTTTCTGAGTAGCAAATCTACTTGATTGTTCACAGACGTGAGATACTGTTGATAGTATTGAGTTTAGGTTTCACTCCTTGAGGGATCGGTTATTCTCCACTAGTAGTAGCCGATGAGCAATAATTTGAAGTTCCAACACGAATGTTTGTGGTTCGAATCCTGTTAAGGACACAAAAGGTACACACTGCCGACAAGCCCTAAACAGGACGAAATACCTGTTCAGTACTCTTTGTTGATCATCACAGTTCTTTCCATCACTTTAAAATAAAATTGATTTGTCTTTTTCACCATACACTGTGTGTTGGTTGTTTTTAGGCTATGCGTAAAGCCGAATGGAAGGTATCTCTTTCGGTTATATCCGCTATGCCACCCATTCCATCCTGGATTTCAAACGCCTTGTTCTTATTCATTTTTTTTCAGAAACACTCGACACGACGAGGAGCTCGCCACGCAGCAAACACTCACACCCGGTGATCTGCAAGATCAACATCGTCGTCCGCTATCCCAATCGGTGAACATGTCCAGCTCGGTTATCGATAGTTTCCCGTTGGCTGGGATTTTTACCACTCAAGATGAATCGGTCGAACACGACACGTCTCTCGTGACTGACGCGACTGAACCGCATTTAGCACGAGCGACCCGATCGACCCTGCCCCACGAGGATATGTTTGTTGCGAATTTGGATTTCACCGGTTCAGATGAGCACCTTCCTCACGTAATTGGCTGTGCTGTTGGTAAGCGAAGCCCCAATGCGTGTATACTGAAATTGTTTTTCAAGGCTTACCTCTTTCTGCTTGTATCTAAAAGTATAATTGCTGAATGAAGTTAATTCTAACCCAGTGATACAATTTGCATGTGTCGGGTTGTTGACGCAAATTAATTCACTGTTTTGTACACGGAACATTTTTAAAAATAAATTTCGTTTGATTGAAAGTGTTTCCGTTGGGCTATCTTAGTGGTGTTAGTTGTGACTGGTGGCTCTAAGCAGCAAGGTCGGGAGTTGCAGGCACATAATTCGGTGTCAGACGTCTTCTTCGCCAGTACAATACTGCGCATGCCAGACTTTTGGGTTTGTTTTCGCGGCTCCCATAGCTTTCATTTGCTGGTACTCATTAATTTGTCCATTATAGCATTTATAACGAGAACAACCGGAACCGATGCCCGGTGCCACGTAATTGATTATTCAAAACTGTACATGTTGCGCATACTTAATCTTCCTCAATAAACGACATTCGCTTTTCTAGTCATTCGTTTCCTGCTTGTACTTTAAATGTTCCGCGTCCTTTTTACAAAAATAGTTCTTCATCTTGTTCTCAACCCTCCTTGCTGGACCACGTTTGCCTCCACAGATGCTCGAGCCAGTTCTCCCTCGCCCATTTATGGCCGCGGGCGTCATCGACGTACTTCACCTTTCCGATGCGACTCGGTGGAAATGACTTCAATCAATTTAGCCGATAGTGATTTGTCATTCCGGCATTTGCACGACACAAGTGGTCGCCTATCAACACATTCAGATTTACCGTTTCGAAGCCCAAATTTATCGCCAATATTTCCCACATCTTTCATCCCTCGTCCTCCTTCTCCAATCCCTCCGGGCGACGATGACGATGACGACAACGACAATGAACGTCGTACCGGCAGTTTTCGTTTACCCACTCCGGCTGCCTGTCTGTTCGGCAACCCCAGTCGACCTGCTTCTCCCATTCTTGTCATGCCTTTTGTAGATCTTTCGCACGATGACGGACCTAAACGAATTCACTAGGCACCATTTTCATCCATTCCATTTTTAATCAGTCCACTGATTCTCTCACGACAATGACCGATTCTTGGAGCCATGCAGTGAACTTCTATCTCTGCAACCATGTGGTTCACTCTTCCTTTTTGTTTTTACCAATTTCTGCTTTTATTTGGACGGATCCATATTCCTCCTCTGTTTTATCTCCATATCCCGAATGTATGTTTGCTTACAGATTTTTCATCGGTTTGAGGCTGGCTTACGGACTGATTGTGTGTGTACATGTATATATGTGATAATAATCCCATATTTTATAGTTCTGTTCCTCGTTCCTCAGATGGTCAGTTTGATGCAGTGAACTAAACCCCATAATCCAAAACGCGGTTCTGACTCCATACCGTTCTCTGACCCGAATTTATGGGCCCCAGGCGTGGTCTATACAACCAAACTGATACGTTCTGTGTTTGCATCTACAGTGTATTCCATTCTACGAGAAACCGTTTCGATTATCTCTTTATGACTAGAAACACTGTTGTCATGTTTTATTTTTCTCTCATAACCCCACCGTGTGATTATTGATTCTGGCCATCTATAATTGCGCTGTATGATGTACAAATAATAATAAATAATCTTCGCTCGTCCGAGTCGAATTACGCTTTCTCTCTCTATTCCTTGATCTGGCTCCTTTTTCCCTGTTCTGGGCCGGATGACGAGATATACATTTCAGTCGCAAATCACTCGGTAGCTTGAGTTAAGGTGAAACTGCTCTTTGAAAACCTCTTTATTACCCTGTATATATCTTTAACAACCGCTTGCGGACAAGCGTAGTGCCAACGCCAAAACAATAATTACTATAACAGTAACGGGAAGACAGGTTACGATAAAGAACAAAGAAAAAAAGACGGAACTGTTAAAACGGAAAGTTACAAATAAATGGGGCAACAAGTCTATTGTGTTTCGCTGTACACTTTTTGAAATTGTTGTGTGTCAGTTTGTCTCTCATTTCGAAGATGGTCGAGTTGTGAGGGAATGAACTTTTACCAAGATCGTGTATGGAATAAACAATCGATTATCCGTAGACCTCCAACACTAACTTGATTCGCGCATAGAACACAGTCGAATTTATTGGAATTAATTCATATTCTTTGATAGGCATCAAATGTCTCATGAGAGCTTCGGCAACTGTTTCGAACATCGGAATGGAAATTAAGACCATCGTGGAAACGATAAGATAACCCGGAGCTTGCCAGGCCGATACACCTTGTAACTGTTGGCCACGAACAACGGTGTGGAAATTCTTTTCGTAGTTCGATCATTTGACGAACGTAGTCCTGATTGTAGGTATCTGTCATCTGTCTGGAAAATCTAAGCACAATTTAGCAGTAACGCTGGTCGCATTTAATGCGTCCATCACTTCATTGATTGGTGAGTCTTCAGAGCAGTGACTTTTATGTTCAGCAGATGGAGTGGTTCAGAATGTAGCGGATACTCCCATTTCATCAGTAGTCGTTGACCAAGGCTTGGATTTCCGCCTCAGAAGGTGGGTCTGTTCTGGCAGACCATGGGACGTGTGTCAGAATAGCCGACGTTGGTGGCCAGCTAGACTGTGCCTCGAAGTGCTCCGTCCAGCGCGTAAGACGTCGCTGTTGATTGTGAATGGTCGAACCGTCAGCTTCGCAGATCGTTCCGCTCACACCCAAGGCTTTTCTACTGGTGACCTAATGAGATGGAACAGCTTACGGGAATTTCCCATGGCGGCAGCATGTTCCATCTCTAACGCGCGTTGAGTCCACCAGATCTCGCGGTCTCTGCGTAGGCTTGCGTTGAGGTTACGACTCGTTGCTCATCGTATTTCATTATGATCGCTGCCGGTCTTGATTGATCGGCGTTCGTAGAGACTCCGCAGGAATCCAGGCTGTCGTGGCAGGACGTTTCAGACCACAACTAACTAAGTCAGCAGAATGCAGAGCATTCTTGATAACCGACCAGTGCTGGTTAACGTCATTGGATGGGGTTGGTTCTAGCTTTTCAGCTGGCGTGTTCTGAAAGACAGTTAGGCGTGCTGGTTCAGACAACTTATCACAGTCTAACCGTCGATGTGTCATGCGTTGGGAACGCCCACCGAAGCACATGGACTTCTTGGCGCAAACTAACGCGTGGTCGGATTCGATGGGAGTGCTCCACTACGATCGGCAGTCTTTTATGCCACCCTGCCATTTGTAGCTTATAGCGATTTGGTCGATCTGCGTCCGTCTCTGACTCGAGGGCGGACGCCAAGTAGCGTACTGGCGGTTGGATCGTCTGAAGTTCGTACTGGCGAGGAATAGACGGTGGTCAGAACAAAGAGCCAACAGCCGTTCCCCGTTTTCCGAGCGACAGGAATCTAGTCCGAAAGGACCACCCAGATGCGCCTCACTTGAAGTCAACCGGCCTACTCTGGCATTCATATCTCCTGCTAAAACCACGATATCAGCCCAACTGGCTTTACGCAAGAGGTCGTATAACTTGTGGTAAAATTCATCTTTGATTGCATCTGGGCTGTAGTCCGTCAGGGCATACGCCGACACGACGAACAGGTTTCATCTATCGGGGCGACAGCTGTTTACTTTGCACGAACCTCACTGTGTCGACTGGGAACCAGTCCAAGAGCGCGGCTTCAGCTCTCTCACTGAGAGCGACACCAACGCCAGCAAGACTGGAAGCCGCAGCCTCAGGGTCCCCAGAGAGGCGTAAATGAAACTTCACTGATAGGTTTGATAGGGACGTCAATCGGATAATGGAGCTGAAGTGTTGGATGCAACACACATCAATGGCTAGGGTCTCGAGCGTGCTAGCTAAACCGGCCTGATGTTCTATACGCATCAGAGTGCGCACATTAAATGTGGCTAGTTTGAATGGGCATCGAGGGCGAAGAAGGATTTCAGCTGTTGGACGGTAGTTGAGGTAGGACATGAGAGAACAGCGGCAGAGTTTCCATTTCAGGCACTAGTGTTTGCACGATCGTCTGAAGATCCCGAGGCAGGGGGTGAATGTGGGATGCCGGAGTTCTGGGGGGGGGGGGGGC